CAAAACATTAGAGGAAATGAAGACAAAACATTTCAGATCTTACAGCATGTTAGAGCTGGTGCATCTGATTTTAAATCATAACACATTTTTTCTGGCATCCGTAGCATTCCTGGTTTTCCGTGCAGAGTGGCTGATGAATGTCATGTGGGACTGACTCAGYTGCCCAGCGTGGTCTCCCTGCCCTCTGCCTTGCTGGGCATCCCAGCCCAGTTCATCCATCCCAGGCCAATTCATCCATCCCAGCCCTGCAGCAGGTACTGTGCTCTGCTGTTTTCCTCTGGACTTTTCCAGAGTGTTGATTCAGGGGCACTGAAACCCCTCTGATCCTTCCCTGTAGGAATGTGGAAGAATCAGTTCCTCTCTTCTCCAGCAACAAAGAGCCAAAACAGTCAGGCCAGCCTTGTCAAAGTCTCCAGAGTTTAGCTTTCCCTCCCATTGTAGCAACAATTAGGATAATTTCCCCCTCTGAACGCAATGAGTTGCTGCAGAGCCCTTTTGTTTCAGGTGCTGCAAAAGCAGTAAATAAATAAACCAATAGGTAGATAAAACACTGAATACCCCAAACTGACAGAAAGCAATATATGTGCTTGCATTTAGAAACCACCAAATTCCATAACCATCTGAATGATCCGTCAAGGACCATGGTGGACACAGATGGCAGAGGCAGGAGTACAATGGCCTCTGCCACCGAGCCTCTGCTTTTCCTYCCTCTTGCCTTCTGCCTTTCCCCTCTGTGCCTTTCCCTAAGGACAGCTACTCCACATATTGCAGCGTTCCCAGCCTTACACCATTGATGTCTGGGCACTGTGAGAAGGAGGCACCTCCCCAGGGGCTGACAGGCACCGCTTTTGTTGCTCAACTTCAATTTCTACAGAGGTTTTCATCTTCCCTGACCTTGTGGTGGCAGATGGGAAAGGCAGGAAAGACACTTTTCTGTGTGGCCTCTTTTGGGGAAGTTACTAGGTTAAGTTTCCGAAACATCCGGAGTGCATTAGTGGTTCAACGCAACTAATTAGAAATTCCCAAAATAATTTTTAATACATTTTTCAATTATAAAAGGAGTTGCTTGAGGTAACAGCAGATAATGGTTCCCCCCCTCGAGGCATCTCTGTTCCTTCTAAGTTTATTGGCAACAGATGACTCATTTCACCTCTGCCCAAGCTGACTGCTTTACAACTCTTCCAGCAGTATCTGGCCTTAAACGAGGTTACTCAGGCTCAAACTGATGAAATAATTTCTATTCTTGTGCCTGTACAGACCATGCCTGTAACACCCAGTGCCTGAGACTAAAAACCAACTGAAAACCAGCCAAACATCCAGACGTGACCTGAAAAAAGCCAGACTGTGCTGTGGCCACAGGCCTGGCTGCCATGGAGAGGCAAAACCTGTCATAAAATGCCCTGTCAAGTTTTCTGGGCTAGGCATCCCCAAAGCTGGGTGGAGACTTCAGGGAAATGAAGCTTATATTCACACCCATGTGAGCTTTTCAAGTCTGTGCTTGACAGCATTGCTTAACTATTTCTCTTTCCAAGCACAGGCAAACCATTTTCAGTCGCATTCAATACAGCTGCCTCAGTTGCATTCAATACAGCTGCCTCAGTTGCATTCAATACAGGCAAACACAGAGAGATGAAATGCTTCTGGAGGAGATTATGAGGCTGTCAGGGAGCTCCTCTATAGCCCTCTGCTTGGAAAGGTCCCACCTACAGCCATTTTTAGCCTGGTTTCCTAAGGGAATGTGGGTGATCACTCTGCCAGTCCCACACTAAAAGCTGAAGCCAGCTGGCCAGTTGCCACCAAGTTTTTCTCACAGGTCAAGGTCCATCCCAAATGTGATATCCCCACTGGCAAAAAAGCAGCTCATGGAGCTCAGGGTAGACACCAGACCTGCATGTGGACGAGTGTGTTTAAATGCTTTAAATCATGTAAAATGCTGCCAAACCTGCACCTTGTTAGATAACAATGTCTCTTGTTGCACATGTTTCCTTGGCTTCCACAGTCCTCAGGAGACGGCTTTTCCTTTGAAGTCAGGTATCCAGCCTAAAGCCAAAGGTCTCTGCATGGCAGCTCTCCTGACAAGGTGGGCTGGACTCATGGAGGAAAATCTTCCTGGCCAAGGTCTGCTGAGAAGAGAACGTGAAGTTACACATAAGCACAGTGTTCAGTGCAGACATTTTCACTTGAGGAAGCCACACACATTTACCTTCCACACAAGCTGCACTTTACTTATTAGACATATGGCAAGAACCTCAGCACATTCCTCAAGGCTATTTATTGTGTCCTGTCAAGTGTAATTTCAGAGGTGTAAACAACCTCACCTGTCTGCAAGCAGTGGTGCTGTACAAAAGCCTTTCTTGTGGTTCACACTTGTATTCTTTTTGTAATTTAACGCCACAAGACTTCAAATGTTTATTGTAGTCAGTAGTTATTTTCCCTCCTCATGCTAATGTTCACCATCACTTATCATCTGGGAGCTATTAATATTAAGCTTGTTTAATGTTTCCAAGCCAATCTCTGGAGTGTTTTAGCAACGTTAATAATTAATACAGGAAGACGAGCATTTTAGAGGCCTGAAGCAGTTCAGGGCAGGCTCACAGTGTAAATGATCTGTTCACCATTATAACTACACCAATCCTTAAAATATCTCTTAACTTTTTCTTATTGTGACAGTGAGATCCCCCAGTCCTTTTTTTTTTTTTTTTTTTCATTACAAGGGACAACCCTTCCTCCTCTCAAAATTGACAAAATGATATTTTAATGCTCCATGGCAGTGGTGACAGACCTTGCCTGTATGATCTCTAGTGGGCTACCCTGGGTCACCATTTCTGAACACACAGAAAAGGAAGAAGAACGGCAAAGGTCAGGATACTTCAAGCATTTCCATTCTGTGATTTAACACAGAAAAGGAGGAACAGCAAAGATCAAGACACTTCAAGCATTTCCATTCTGTGGTTTGACTCCTTGGCCACGTTTTCTATGAAAAACAGCGCTCACGGAAAGGATTACACATTAAACAGCACAGRTATAKCAATCAGCTTTGAGAACATCACTTGTTGTGACCTCTGCATGGATCAATTATTTTAAATTCATTTTGCTTGCTGTGGTTTCAGACATTTCTTCTCAAAAAAATAAGAAATGAGAGTGCTTTGGATACAAATTGAGATTTTCACATTCCAGTTGTTTGGAGAACAAAGGAGAAGAGAACAAGAGAAACTTGGCTGTTCGGACACACTTCTGGCMTGAAACCTCAGTCCGTCTCTCACGGGCTGGTGTCAGAAATGAGAAATGAGAAATGAGACTTGGGAGCAGCAGCATCCTCGCTGTCTTCAATGATAGAGGAGCTGTGCCCTCTAGTGGGGTCTGGCTCACCAGGAGCTGCACAAGAGCCTTCCAGGGAAGAAAAAATAACTCCCAGCCYTCACCAGGGACACGTTCCCTGGGCTCTGGAGATCTCCCGGGCATTTACATTAGCCAGGCCATGGCACTTTATCTGGGCACCTCATCCCCACCATCTGCTTTTATAAAAACCCTTCACAAAGACCTCTGAGATGTCACGAGGAAGCTGGTATGAAAATAACAGAGCAGCACAAACTGGGAAAGAAGTTTCTCTTATCAGTGACAAAGGGGTCCTTTCATAAGGCTTCAAAGCCTCCCAGCCTTTATTTTCTGCTAAAATTTAGGTGCATAATTCTACCAGAGCCTGTAGGTCCAAACCAGAGGGTAAATTCATCGCCGTGGGGAAGGATTCCTGCTGCAGCAGCCCCAGCCTAAAGTATCCTCAGTCCCAGCTCTTCCAAAATCCTGAAACACCTTCCTAACCCCTTGCTGTGCCAGTGCATCTGTGCAGAGGGTCACAGAGACTCACACTGAAGAACTGACTGATCCAAAGCCCTGGAAAAAGAAAGGCTTTAAGTCAGCTCATTTGGGAAACAAGTTATAGGGAAGCACTGGGAGCAAATTAAAGTGCTTCAGGGCTGACAAAGTTGTATACATTTTTAGGAATTGTCTTCAAAGGATCCCCAAATCCTGCTCTAGCCTCTGCAGAGCTGATGGGAAGGACCTGGGAKAATAAACTGTACATGGCTTTTCATCGTTGAAATGAGAAGCAATTGAACTGCAGTGCTTAGCCCTTGGAAGTCACAAGACACATTTTTCATTTCAAAACTAGGATGATATTGTTTTTAAGCTTCCTTGTAGGACTTCTGCTTTTCAYCCCGCTCCCTATAACCATTAGGACTAGATTTTGTTAAGCTTGTTTCACTTCCAGCTATCTTACTTGAAGGAAAGTAACTATGACGAGTGACAGGAACACAGAATTATCTTCATTCAGCTGTTTAATTATCAGACCTTCTCATTCTCACTCCAGACCCGTTATCCCAATGCAATATAACACGCGGTGATTTCTCTCTCAGGATATTAAAGCTTTAACAAGAGCAGCCTTCTTCAAAACACTAAGCCCCAACTGCCTGGGGTAACCAGCTATTACCTTAATTATCAGACAGTAAAATACTCCGKTTTTGCTCACTTTGTGCCTCCCAAGCTCAGGAGCAGCTGTCGTGCAGCTGAAGCATTTTGCAAGAGAAGCAGGCRTGTCTTCTCCCACAAAACAAATCCYCTTCGCAATCCCAAGCCTGAGGTATCCGAGCTTGTGCTGGCATAAGACCAAATCCAGGTCTAATGTTCGCCAGCAGAAATTGCCGTGTTATAAAAATCTGGAGAAGGATTGTTCGCCAGCAGAAATTGCCGCGTTATAAAAATCTGGAGAAGGACCCATCCTGGATATGCCGTGACTCCGGCCACACCCAGCCCTCCCTGGTCTTCAAACCTTGGGGGATCCGAGGTGCTTTCACTCCCATTTCCTTGGTAGCTGGGCTGTCTTGGAGGCCAAGACATGGGGAAAGCCCCACCCACCCACTCATCCCTCTGTCTGTCCGCCCATCCATCCGTCCATCCATTGCCAAACCCCGGTGTGGGCAGTGGGGAGGGAGGGACGGAGGGAGGGTGCAGGAGTGCTGGGAACACGCCACCGTGTCCCCTTGCGGTGACAACWGCCTCGTGCCGTCCTGCCTGGCTGCTAGACCTCAGCTCTGGTGTCAGGTCTAAGGTTCACTGATCTCGGGCTGCCTCTCACCTTTGACACCGCTCCCGGCGCCGGTGCTTTCGCTTTGAGCCGCTCCCGGCACGGAGAGGCTCCAACACACGGATGGGGCCGTCATCCCGTCAGCCCTGACACACGGACTGGAGCCCTGGGAGGAGAGCAAGGCTGCGGGAAGGTAAAGGCATCCTCCGCTCAGGAATTCCTCCAGGCAGGCCCCCAGCCCCCACCCGCCTTCTCCAACTGCTTTTCCCAGGCAAGCTCCGGGAAGAGTCTCATCCCTACACCCCAGGCTCGAAGGGTGGCACAGTCCTCAGTGACTCCCTGAMCAAGAGAAGAGGATTTTTAGGAAGCCCTCTCCTGTACCCCCATCTTCCCAGAGCTGTTAGGAAGGTTTCAGCAGTGCCTCGGTCTCTCCCACAGCCCAGGGCAGTCCTGTTTATTGCTGCCTTACTTCCCTTCGTGGTTAATGACCCTTATTCCCTTCCCCTTCGCTGTTGTTCTGAGAAATGATCACTGTGTAAATCGAATATTTGCACATTTAGTCTTTGCAGTTGGGATTTTTGTATCCCCAGGTAACCCTGGCTTGAGTGAACTTTATGAGTGGCCCCACTCTTCCTTAAGCCAGAGCTTAAGCTGGTAGGAGGAAGCTCACAAAAGTAGAGGAGAGATTTGAGGTGAATGTTAGAAYTTAATTGGGGAGGTAGRAATGTGACAACTATCTTGTGTGTGGAGGAAAATTAATTATMTAAATCTGAAAGAACCTAAAATATCGTGTTCAAAAACTGCAGGATTAAATAAGGCAGATTTAAGTGTTGAAGTCCTGGAATTTTTCTGAGGTGCTCATTAATTGTTGTTCTGGTTTGCTGCTGCACCCCTGCAGAAATTCAGCAAATGGGTTTAATGGTTTTAGGACCTAGAAAAGCTTAGATATCAGCTAGACATCATTACACTTAAACAACATTAAGTTCCCCAAAGTTAAATAGGATCTTAARTGAGACTTCTCAGTGACTCCATCCCCAAAGGTATGCATTACTTTCCTTTATCTACTGCTCTCCTTTGGAAATAAAAGGCTTATCCCCTGAYGATAAATACATCAGGATCCCTCCAGCCAAGCTTAAAAATGCTGAACACAATTTCCTGGGTGCAGAGATGTTTAATCCTCTGTTAGGAAGTGGGAAACAATTGGTGTCGGGGCTGTTTGGGTACTCACCTTCGAGATAAGTGTAGGATCAAGCAAGCCTGCCCCTAAAATCTGCTGCTACCCACAACTGCAACAAAATATTCAGCTGGAGTTGTATCTGGAGACCAAATCCTCAAGCAAGATTTTTATAGCTGATTGAAGATAAACTGGTTTATTTTCTCTGACTATCCTGGATCTGAGCAGGTTCAGCTTTCCCTGCCCCTCAGTGTGGCCTCTTGGCACAAGGAGAGGACCTGCACCACCCCAGCTGTTCCCCATGCTGCTCCCCAGATTGATGGCAGGAGATGTCTGGATGCTTTTCCCAGAGTCCCTTATCCAGCAAGTGCAGGGTTTTACTCTGTACTCTCCTTTCCCAAAAAAAAAAAAAAAAAAAAAAGAGGACAACCATTTCTCCTTAAATCCTGTTTTCCATTGAATCAGAATAAAGCCATTCGTTTTTCTTCTTTGCCATCCTCCTCAAGTGGGAAGGGCGTCCCACCCTCTGCCTCTTACCATAGGGAAAAAATCGTTTCAAATGAGCTTTGGCAAAACTTGTTGCAGTAAATTCCAGGTGAGTTTTGTTCCAGCATCACCCCAACTTTTCCAAAGTTTAACGGAGAGCAGCTGAGGGAAATGATGAGAAACTGTGTTTAATATACACAGTCTTGGGTGGATTTCAAGCAGCTTCTTGCTTCCTTTGAGAGTTTTATGGTTTCTTACTGACAGTAGCTGCCTAGAATGAATGGCAGTCTCATTTCCAGCCTACAGAGAGGCAAATGTATGTAATCAATACCATAAGGAGCGTATTTATGCTGTGCCACAGAGTTTATCTTTTTTCTGCTTCAAAAATATAACTAGCTGTTGGKGCACAAACTGTGATCCTGCTGAGGGACATGATGTTACCTGTGTTTGTTAAGGGGATTAAAGCCCATCTCMCCCAGCAGAAAAAGCTACTTGGATGTAAAGAAACAGACGTGGGTTCAGCCAAGAAGCGCTCTTAATGACAGCCTTAATGAAGAATTAGAGGTCTGGAGCCTGCCAGAGTGCAGAGGGAGGACGGGCAAAATAATGGAGGCACGTGGGATGAGCAGCTCGCAGGAACAAGGGGCTTTTGTCAGGGAAGCGAGTGCAGAGAGCCCAAGCTCCTCAGCCAAATTCCCGACCCCAGGTAGAAATTGCACCAAATCTTCATAATCAGTCTTGCAGGTTCCTGCTCTCTGCCTGAATGGAGGGAAGCCCCCCATTCCAGAAGGGCTCACCCTGGCGCCCCATGAACTTCCCTGTCTCCTTTATAATCATCCACAYGAGCCGAGTGTTTTTGGAGGAGGAGCTGTGCAAGGAGGAACCAGGGCAAAGCAAGGCACAGTGTTATTTGCTGCTCTGCACTGGCAGTTCCCAGCGACAGCGGGGCAGCGGCACTTCCTCGCCCTCAAGGCTGGGAGGAGGGGACACACATGCCACCCAGGGGGGCTCCCACGGACCAGCCTCTTCCAGGGTGCAGCCAAGGCTCTGCAGCAGCTSTCTTCCACTCAGGTTTGAGGCAACCATTGCTTGTGGGTCTGTGTTTCCCTGCCATCCCTGTGCTGGGCGATGCAGTCACGCTCTGGTGACACAGGGCTGACACGCCAGGGGCTTGGTTTATCTGGGGCTCTTTACCCAGGGTGCAGGAGCATTTCCCATCTGCTTTGGGTGCTGCTGTTCCTCCTCAGGACTCCTCTCTCCCCTGAGCCCCTCCTGATACAGCTTCTAACCAGGATAAATGTGGGGCAGCAGCCTGAACTCTTCACCAGGGCTTTGGGAAAGGAGCTGTGCCGGAGACCAAGGCACAGCCTGGAGGGATTTCCCTCTGCCAGGAAATTCCTCCAGCTTGTTCCCTGAAAGGAGTTGCACCAATCAATCTCCTTGCCGAAATCCAAGGAGGCTTCTGGTATCAAGTTTTTTCCGAAACATCTCCACCTTCTGGTCACAACTGACAGTGGCAGATGCTTTGATGCATTAAATTTGCAATTAATGATATTAATGATTTTATTCCAGCCTGTTTTGGAGTTAAGCCCCAYCTGCCCTGTTGCTGCCTGGGATCASTCGCAGATGTACCTTGAACAGAGTTGGTTTCCTTGCAGGACATGGCACAGACGGTGACCCCGGGCACCTCCCCGGAGGGYTCTCGTCCCTCCTACATGTACAAGATGGTCCTGCTGGGCAGCATGTCCGTGGGGAAGTCRAGCCTGGCCTACAGATACGTGAAAAATGACTTCAGGGAGCTGCTGCCAACCGTGGGATGTGAGTGAGTGGCTTTGATGGCTCTGGACRAGAGGCCAGGCCTGACGCAGTTCCCTGCAGCGGGGTGGGGTGCAGGAGAACTGCTTGGCACATCTTGCAGTAGCACAGACCCACTTTGGAATGTGATACAGACTTGCCCAAGAGCCAGCATCTCCCCATCCACATCCCTGCAGCCCCTCTGCTCAGTGCCAGGCTGCAAGCAAAGCCACATCTGCATCACGCGAGTTTGGCTTTTCAGGGGCAGGTGAGCAGCAAAGGACTGAAACCTGGGATTCAAAGCGTGCAGCACATCTGCCCTTTGCCTTCTGTGCTGCTTTCAGACACCCCAGGAGGGTCTTACAGAATGGTTTGCACTGGAAGGGACCTTCAAGATCTCCTAGYTGTGATCCCCCCTGTGCCTGGACTTTGGGAATGTTCATTTTAGACAATGCACCTGGGTTTTGCCTTGAGAAGGCACAGCAGAGGCTGTGGTCCCACCTGTGCTTGGAGAGCCAGCTGCTGGAGCAGAGCACAGTGGAGTGTCTGCTCTTGTCCCTCTGCCTTGTCCCCAAGCAGCCATCTGCCCCCCAGGAGCAGGGAGGGAGGCTCCCCTCCAGTGGGAACCTTTTCCATGGATATTCCCACCCACAGCTCCCACCTACCAGTGAGGTGGAGGTGGCTCTGCCTGGGGGCTGTTCTCCAAAGCTCAGAGTTACCCAACATCAAACCTGGCATCATCCACCCAAATCTGCCTCCAGGAAGGGCCATGTCCAGTGGCCAGTGATCACAAGAAGTCCCCASCCCACACAGATTCTGTGCATTAGAACATCATTAACAGCCCCTCTGGGATGGGTTTGGCCTCAGGGGGGTGGATCTGAGCTCTCTGCTCCTGCTTCGAGTGAACACACCCCCTGCATCCTGCCTGCAGGCTCCTTCTTCACACAGACCCTCAACCTGGACGAGGCCACCGTCAAGCTTGAGATCTGGGACACGGCAGGCCAGGAGAAGTACCAGAGTGTGTGCCACCTGTACTACCGGGATGCCCACACCGCCCTCCTCGTTTATGACATTGCTAACAAGGTGAGGCACGGGGTGCTGAGCCCATCCCTGCTGGGATCCTGCCCTGCCATGCTGCAGCAGCGCTGTGGGACAGAGATGCCCAGATKATGGTGTTTGACCTTGGATGGGCAGAATGTGGTACATGAGCACCTTCTGAGGAGGGGAACATCCCTTTTGGGACTTGCCAGGTGTGATTTTTGCTGCCATGCATCCTGTACAAGGGGGATTTATCCCTAAATGTGTTTGAGGGCTGTTTCCCTGGGAAGGGCAATCAGAACCACCCTGCCACACCACTCTCGCCCTCCTTGGTTTGGTGCCACCCGGCCCTGTGACAAAGGAGTTGAATCAAAACCAGATCACTGGGTTTTGCTTTTGTCAAAATCACAGCAGATTTTGGCAAAACTGGGTGGTTTTGTCTCCATCTCTCCAGCAAACATTCAGCAGAGCAAAGGTGTGGCTAGAGGAGCTGGAGAAKAGATTCCTTCCTGATGAAATCGTCATTGCTCTGGTGGGGAACAAGACAGACCTTGGTGCTGAGCGAGAGGTCACCACTGAGGTGAGTGCCTGGGGTTTCCCCATCACCCCTCGCAGAAAGCACTGGGATAAATCCAAGGAAAATTCCTAAGGAAAGCCAAGAGGTTAAAAGGYTCCCAGACACCTCCAAAGTCCCTGTACAATTATTGACCCACTGTGAAATGTCACCGTGTAACCAAGCAAGCAACCCAGAGGGGGCAGGGGAATAACTCTGCTTGTCTCCACTCAGGAGGGGGAAGAGTTTGCACGAGCAAAAGGCCTTCTGTTCATGGAGACATCTGCAAAATCCAGCTATCAAGTGAATGATGTCTTCATGGCCGTGGGTGAGTTATGGGATGGCTCTAGGTGAGAGCAGAGGCAGGGCAACCATGGCCCCAAACCCCTGCAAAGTTCTACCCCATCACTGCTCCTACTCTTGTCACTGAAATGTTCCTCCAGCCAGTCCAGCCTGAGCCCCCCCTTAAGGCAGAAGGAGGGACAGATCCATCCCAGGATATTCCAGTGCCAGAGAGGGCTTTCAAGCCTTGTCCCAGAGCCTCAATTTTATTTTGCTTTGGTATCCAGTCTAGGCATGGTGGTGTCCCCAGCTGAGTTCAGGGAGCTGTGGGATGGTGCCCTGGAGTGGGACACGGGGTGGCCTTTGCATCCCARCCACCAGCAGGACAAAAGAACTCTTCCCTGCCTTGTGTTTCCCCCTAGTGCATGAGCTCTTGAGGAGGGAAAAAGAGAAGGCATCGAACCCATTCCCACACGGGAGAGCGTGGACCTGGGGGCGAGCGGGGCGAGGACGCGGTGCTGCCGCACCTGAGGACACTCAAAGGGACAGTGACAAAGCTGCGGGGACTCAGAACTGCAGGGACAGCTCAGCCTGACCTCCCCTCCCTCTCAGGGYGAGTTCAGAGCCCGTCCTGGGTGCACGGGGCCTCTTCAACCCTTCAGCACCATCTTCAGCCACGAGATGAGGCATCAGGGGTTTCTTCCACCAATCTTCTGTTTCCAGAGAAGAGCACAACCTGCYGGGAGCACTGCCACCAACCCTGACTGGTGACATCCCCCCACTCCCAGCTGTCACCTCCTCCAGTTCCCTTTCCATTTGAAAAGGGAGGGTTTAATTTCCCAGATCAAAGATCCCGGTGGTTTTACACCCAGGCTGCAAATAAAGAGAATATTGCCCTGTAGGTGAGCTGGTTTTTGCCCTGTCCTGGATTTCAGCCTGCAGGGAACCACAGGAAGCCTGGAGGGATCAGAGCCAGTGCCCCCCTCACCCTAACCACCCCATTACAGGGGTCACAGCCSATCCTTGGGAGCAATCACCAGGCCAGAATGGGGCCAAAGCAGACGTGTGGTGTTGSAGTGCTCTGTGCCTTGCAGGGCCTCCCCTTTTTACCCCCTTATGAGTCWACTGTGGGAATTCACCTTGGCTGGAAGAGAAGAGAAAAATCACCTGAGTTCTCCCCAAAAGCAGCACCACTCACCCTGTCTGCAGGGCAGTGACCTCTGAGTTTCTGTGGTGTGGCAGAGTGGTGGACTGAGCGTCATATTCTCCCCGAGAGTTTCTGATCCCAGCTCCATGGAAATGGGGTGGCTTCCAGCTTATGGAAGTGAAGGTGTTGGGGTCACCCCTGGGTGCTGGCTCACTGTGGGGACCCYAGGGGATACACCTGGGGAAGGGGGCCCTCTGGGCTTATTTTTAGGGTGTTTTTGGGATGTGAGGGGATAATCACCTGAGGGAAGGCCTGTCATGCACACACAACCAGTGCAGGCAGAAAACCATGGCAACCATGCAAATTTGGGGTTACACCCCCCCAAATTTTGGGGATCGCCCACCCCATTGTCACATTTTGGAACAGAGAGGCTGGGACACGGAGAGAAGAACGGTTTTTATTGTCAGCTCTGGTTTAGGGGTTCAGCTCCTGCCGGGGAGGGTGGGGGTGCGGGTGGGGGGCTCCGCAGCCCCGCTGCCGYCCGGCCCCGCCCGGCTGGGTGCCTCCGCCCCGGGCTTGTCGCCTCCCGAACCGCCCCACCGGCCGGATCCCGCGGCCCGTGTACCACGAGGGGTCGATGTCCGGGTCTGCGAGGGAAAAGCCGAGGATCCGTCAGGGGTTTGCAGGACGTGGAAGGGGACGGGGCGTTCCGCCCACGAGCGGGGGGATGGCGGACACCAGGGATGCAGGGCAGGGGGATGAGGAGGATAAAAGCTGCTGCAGAAGCTGTTTGGAAGTGGAGCTGTGCTCCTGCACAGTGCCAGCACCTCCTCACCCCCCAAACGCAGCTGAGTCTGGGGGTGCAGCAGGGGCTGCAGGCAGGGGGTTGGCTGGGGAGAGTCCCTTACTCGTGTTCTCCTTACTCCTGATTTCCATGGAGCGCTCGAGAAGGCGGCCGTGGGTGGCGGGCAGGGTCAGGCACACGAGCAGCAGCCACAGGAGGCAGGCGACCCCCAGCTTCATCCCCAGCGCTTTCTGGCCGCGGTGAGTTGGCTCCGAAGACTCCTGACCCCTGCTGRGCTCCGCTGTGGCTGTAGGAGGGAAGGGATTTGGGTGTTAATGTGTGTCCCCATCACAGCATCCCTGGGGCGGCTGGGGACAGGACATTTGCTGGGGCTGATGCCTCTGGGGAAAATACCACCCCGAATATGAGCTGCACAAATCTCATGGTCAATAACGCAAGTTTTGGTCCCGGCCTCGTGCCTGATTTTCTCTGGGGCCCCCGGGGCACCTGTGGGACCCAACAGCCCAGGGAATGGGGTCCCCACCAAAATGCGGGGCTGGCTGCACCAAGCAGGGGCTGCAGAGCCAGGAATGGGTTTTGCTGCTGAACGCTGGGGGATGGATGGATGGATGGATGGATGGATGGATGGATGGATGGATGGATGGATGGATGGATGGATGGATGGATGGACGGACGGACGGACCACAGCCACCTCAACACCCTTGGCACCCACTCCTGCACGCAGCTGCTGAAATGATAATCTGGGAACACCCTGTCATGCCCTTCATGGCACCGAGGGGGTGAGCAGGGCTGAGTGCTGGGCTGGATTTTTGCAGCCTCCTGAGCACGGTAGAGCCGGGCGAGGCAGGACCCGGCAGGGGAGCGGCGGCAGCTCCGTTTCCAGCGACTTTTGCACAGGAAAAGTTTGCAGCGCGCTGAGCAGGGGACACCGCGCTCCCGGGAGCTCAGGTTTGCTGCGGCCACCAACTTTTGGAACCCCCCCAGCCGGCTGGACAGACTCACGGAGGGAAGGCAGCGCTCGGGAATTACCCGGCAGCAAAAGCATCACGCGAGGGAGAGCAAAGCGCGGCTCCGGGCGGCGGGGCTGCACTTACCGAGGCGAGGCGAGCCCAGGTGKCCGGCTGCCGTCCCGCTGAGCCAGGTGGCGGCTGTGTGAGCCGGAGTCCCCTCCGCTCGCTGCTTTTATGGCCGGTTTCGCGCTGATGTCAGAGGCGAGCCCCGGCGGGGACCGTGCCGGGGCATCTCCCCTCCCCGCCRTCCACTCTCATCAAATCAGCACAGGGATTTTCGTGACTCAGAACGGACCAGCGCTTTATCTTCCGCTGGTTGAGGGAGATGGTTTGGGAATATGCTAATCTCTGTCCTCGACGCGGGGTTATTTCGGACGAGGGGAAGTCTCCTGCTCCGTCCCTCTGCCGGGCTTGGTGTGTGCTGCTGCCCCGAGCGCTGGGGTGAACAGTGGAACTCCACCGCAGGATTTACACTGCTACCACCTCCCCTTCCCCTCCATTCCCCACAAACACCTGCTTCAGGGAAAGCRGAACATTTATTACACAGACGAGAGGAAGGCAAAGTGCTGGGGCTCGCGGGCTGCCTGAAACAGGTTTGTTCTCTGGGCGTGAGGGCTTCAAATCCCCACACCYCCGATCCCCCACTCCCATTTTAAAGGGATTTGAAAGATTTCTGATGTTTATTCTGCTGGATGTGACACTGAAGGAGCCAGCTCGGGACCCCTACATGAGGGCCAGTTGGTGTCCAAGCACAGACAAAACTGGGATTAGGGGTATCCCAAAGCAGGCACATTTTTGTGTTGGCAGGATTGTGAAGACGCTGTAACCAGAGGGAAGGGGGAGGGCAAGTCGGAGCAGCACATTTCTTTCACGATCAGCCCCTCCTTAGTGCCACCCTGTGCATCCCCTCTGCCCACCTGGCTTCACCAGTGGGCACCACTGACTCAGAGTCATCACCCTGTGCCTCTGTGGCCAGTGTCTGACTGGTCATGTGGCCATCCTGGTCTGCACCGTCTGGCCCCATGTGGCTTCAGTGCTGCTGATGCAGCTCCTGTCTGCTCCACCTGGTCAGTTTTAAAGCCAGGAGTGCACAGGTTGGTGAAAGGATGGATGGATGTGGAGCTGTTGGAGMGAGTCCGGAGGAGGCCGTGGAGATGCTCCGAAGGCTGGAGTCAGGGAGAGYTGGGGCTGCTCACTTGGAGAAGGATCCAGAGAGAGCCCCCCTTTTAGTGCCTAAAGGGGCTCCAGGAGAGCTGGAGAGGGACTGGGGACAAGGGATGGAGTGACAGGACAAGGGGGAATGGCTTCCCACTGCCAGAGGGCAGGGTTAGATGGGATATTAGGAAGGAATTCTTCCCTGTGAGGGTGGTGAAGCCCTGGCMCAGGGTGCCCAGAGAAGCTGTGACTGCATCTGGATCCCTGGAAGTGTCCAAGGCGAGGTTGGATGTGGCTTGGAGCAACCTGGGAGAGTGGAAGGCATCCCTGCCCATGGCTRGGGGTGGGAAGAGATGAGTTTTAAAGTCCCTTCAAACCCAAACCCATCTGTGATTCCATGTGAAGAGAAAGGAGCCTTCACTCAAGTGAGCTGAAAAAACAGACACTGGGAAATGGGTGGGTGGCTCTGGACACAAAATTTGCTTTATTGTGTGATTTAGCGCACTTTTGTTATAATCTCTACACGGGCAAACGGGTCAGGAAACCAGCAAAGAACAACGTGGGTGGCTGTGGAGCGACGCCTCGGTCTGCAGTGCCRAGCCCCCCGGGAGGATTCCTTCAGAGGGCCAGGCGTGGAGGGACTGCAGCCACGGCTGAGGCCAGACAGGCCACAGATGGGGCTGGGGTGAAGAGTGAACCCCGACACCAGAAGGGCGAGTGCAAACCCCCTGGGTGATCTTGATGGAGCTGCCAGCCCAGCACTGGGGGGATGGATCCAGTGAAGCCACAGTGTCTGGGAGAGTTTCTGCAACAGCAGAGGTTTGCACTTACCCTGTTGAGCTTCAGGCCAGGATTTAATTTTAAATTGAGAAATTGGTTTTGTTTCCAGCTGGGAAGCCTGGACCATGGACTTACAGTACTCTCTGGGATGACCACAGGACCAATTCCTAGGCAGTTCTCAGTCTCTACTGCTACCAAAGCCAARCAAATGTGTTACTTGCATGAGAATTTTCCCTACTGCTCCTAATTAAAGTGGTTTTAGCTCAGATGCTCAGGAATTGCCTAAAATAATCCAGCCTGGGTGGCCATGGAGGGGAAACCGTCAGCATTGGTCTGACATCCCTGCTCCAGCTGCGAGCGATCCTCCCCGCTTTGCCCACTGGGGAGGGAGGGAGGGAGGAAAGTGGGGGCTGTACAGGACAGGGACCGAGCAGAAAACCTCCTTCAAAGTGTCCTGCAAGAGAAAATAAACCCTCTTCCCATCCTGATGCTCTGGTCAGGTCATGGATGTGGGGCTGGCACTGATCCACTGGCCTCARTGGATGTGGAGAATTGATTATTGGAGGAAAACAGTATTTCCTGGGGGACACCAGGGGCCCAGGGCCACTGCAGCCCTTGAAGGTTATCACAGCCCCTCCAAAGGACGAGATGGCCCTAAAAGGCTCTGCAATGCTGTCACCAGGGACAGGGGATGTGCTCATYCACAAAGTGCACCTTGGCAGGGGCTGACCCCTCTGTGGAACAAAGGAGCCCCCACACTCTGCCCGCTGGAGCTCTGTGTCTCGCTGGTGCAGCCTCACATGGAGCAGAGACATCTTTGAGAGCTGAAAGAGCAAACCAATCCCCAGCAGCACCCTCARCCTTTTCTCTGCTTTTCCTGCCACTGCCTCCCTCAAGCCTCACCTTGCTCCCACCCCCAGATGGCCACAGCTGCTTTGGGCACGGTGGCAGAAGCCTCAGTGAGTTTTGCATGGCTTGGGCAGAGACCAAGCGCTCACTGGGAGGGGGCCAGCACTGCTCTCATCCTGCTCTGCTGCTCAGGGAACGGGAGCAAAACTCCAAGGGACATGGCTCCAAGGGAATAGGGGCAGCACTGGGATGTCTGGGTCCTTCTGCTACCTGGAGTAGCCCAAGGGCATTCCACAGTCACTGTCAGCTCCTGCCCCTGCTCAGCAGTAGCCTGGGACAGAGCAGGGACAGGCACTGACAGCTCTTGCCAAGCCAGGGCTGTGTCCCTACCCTGTCCCTGTGCTGAATGACACGGTGACATCCAGCTCCCTCCGAGGTCACTCCTGCTCCACACCTCTCTGGCCCCCTTGGCTGACCCAGTCCCAAAGAGCTTCCCAAATCCAAGGCTTCATTCCAGCATCCTCCCATGAGAGCCCCTGGCCACCTGTCTGCACCCCAGTGCCTCGCTCCTCTCYCTGGCAGCTCCCAGCAGGGCCTCCAGCCCATGGTCTCTGGCTTCCTTTCTGTCCAGGCTTTCAGGGAGAGAGGGGCTCAGGAGAAGGAGAAGCTGTGGCAGGGGAGGCGGTGAGAGGCTTTGTGCCGAGGTCTCGTGTGGTCACTGAAATGCAGCCGCAGGAACGTCCCCTCTCTCAGGACAGGTGGGTCATCACCGGCTTCTGCAAGGCACAGGGAGGGACCTCAGCTCGCTGCCATGCCCAYGCCACCCCGAGCCACCCCAGTGTGCTCCTTGTCCCCTCTTGCTGCCCCACCCCACAGAATTCAAGGCTGCTCATCTTTTCTGGGSCTTGTRACATCCCAGYGCTCCAGAAGAGATGCCCAGGYRTCCCTGYCCTCCCCAGTCAGCATGGTGACACCAATGCTGAGAGCTGTGGGCTCCAGCAGCATGGGGAGAGCTTGGGGAGGGACAGGACCCCCTGGGAGCCCGACCCGCAGCCCTCCCGTACCGCAAAGAGCCTCTCCACCCTCCTGTTCTTGCCATTGGGGTTCCTCTGCGTCAGGGAGCCGCGGTACACTGAGTTGCGGTCAAAGGAGTCGTCAAAACCTGTGTTGAGGGAAGAGAGATGGGCAGCAGGTCCTCACCCTCCTCACAGAGGTGCCAGTGACCCGCCCAGGCATTGGGATTTACCAACAGAGGTGCCAGTGACCCACAGAGACATTGGGATTTACCAATAGAGGTGCCAGTGACCCACAGAGACATTGGGATTTACCAACAGAGGTGCCAGTGACCCGCAGAGGCGTTGGGATTTACCAACCCCGCTGTGGTAAATGGCTGTGGGTGTGGATGCATCGTGGCGCTTCCCTCTCCAGAGGGTGACGGGAAGCGCTTGGATAACGGGATGGGAGTCACTGCTGCTCAGGTGTGCAGAGCACTGYGTGAGCTGGGCCAGCCCTGCCTGCCAGGGAATCTGCTCTGGGAAGCTCCGTGGGACAGCAAAAACCCAGCCTGGAAGGAGCTCGCCGACACAGCCTGCCATGCTCTCCTGACCTGTTAAGCCATCTGCTCTCCTCTGCCACCAACTCCCACCAGCTGCACCTTTCCAGGCCCAACTTTCTGAGTYGTTGACCTCCAGCAGGGCAGCCAGGAGACCAAATCACCCCCTGGCCCAGCCCAGGCACAAGGGATTAGGTTTGCCTGGTGACGTCCATTGCACATCCCTCCATCTCCTCGCAGGGCTGACGTGTCCCATGGCTGCCTTTATCTGCCTGCCCTTCGCAGGAAGGAGAGMAGCTGATTCCTCCTCTGCATGAGGATAAGGGCCCTTTCCACCTCCCAGTCCCAGCCTGGGGATCAGCTCTGCTAATTGTCCATGTTGAATGGGAGAAACGCTGTTCTACCTCTGCATTAAATGATCTTTCCCCCCTTCCTTCCCTCATCTTCCATTATCTGGAAGGAGAGCCATGCGCCACTCTTTCTGCCTTTAAGCTTGTGAGGAGAGATAAGAGAGAAACAGAAAAGTAATTTCCTAATGGGACTCGCTGATATTGGCCAGGATGAAACATTTCCGGTGATTGTCCCCCAACCACACAAGCTGCTGTGCCAAGTTTCAGGTCACCATCGACTCTGAAGCTCTCCCAAGCTGCTGTTTGATCCAGCGGGGCCCTGGAGGGCCTCCTGCCCCCCAGCAGAGTCAGGGTTGAGATTCATGGAGTCATGGAATGGTTTGGGTTGAAAGGAAGCTGGAAGACCCTCCTGCCATGGACCAGGTCACCTTCCCCTACACCAGGCTGCTCCAAGTCCTGTCCAACCTGGAACACTTCCAGGAGTGGGGCACACCAGGAAGGTGAAGGAAGGAAGAAATTTCTGTCAGAAAGGAGGATGGGCTCAGGTGAGGCTTTGAGACATAACAGCCAACAAAGGAATGCAGGTGTCTCCCTGGACTCTGGKGTGGCTGCAAAGAAGTCCTGGTTCTTGGAGAGCTCAGCCACCTCAGCCTGACCCCTGCTGTCCCACCACTGTCCCCAGCCCTCCCGATTCCTGCCTCCTTTCCCAGTTACCCACACTGGGAGCACAGGGAAGGGGACTCCACCGTGGACACACAGCTGGATGTGGGGACAGAGCGGATCAGTCTACCCCAAAACCCAGCCCAGCTGCCCACAGGGCCCCATCTCCCACTGCTCCTTACTGGTGATTTCCAGGGGACTGTTGAACTTCCTCCTGAACCTCTGCAGCCCGGGCATTGCCTGCAAGAGAAAGGGAGCAGGCTGCAGCAGGCCAGGGATGGGATGGCAGAGGCAGCCCCTGCAGCTCCAGCTGTGTCTCCAGCACAGCCAGCACTGACTGAGCACAAACTCACTTTAATGTCACCAAGAGGCTCCCCAGGGCTGCAGCTGGCAGGACCAGGAGGATGGAGGAAGGCAGCCTGTGGGCAGAGAAGGGCAGAGGTGTCTCTGGGGGTGCAGGGGCAGGCAGACTCTTCATTCTGCAGCACCAGGCAGTGCAGGGAGAGCTGGGCACAGCCCAGCGAGCCAGGCAGCCCTTCCCAGCACCCAGGGGCAGCAGCAACAGCCCAGGGAAGCCTGTACCCCTCGGGGCTGGCACCTCACGCCCTCCACRCTCACCTGCACACTCGACTTCTTCTTGGCTTTCTCCACAGACTTCACCGTCAGCCCTGCGGCAGACAGAGCCGCGATTCGGGATTCGATGTCYGATATCTTGGGAAGGAGGAGAAAACACACACAGATGGTGGTTGGAGGATCCATCAGTGGCTTTGTTTGCCATCACTGGCYGGGCAAAGCCTGTCTCAGAGCTAAACCCTCACCTCACTCTCTGCCTGCTGCACCTGAGCGGCTGCCGAGGCCACTTTRTCCTCCAGCTCAGACAGCTCCGAGTCAGTGGTGCCGCTGTGCTGAGCCCCTTCCTCGAGCTCCTTCAGGGTATTCTCAAGCTGGTAGGCCTTTCCAGCAGTCAGGTACACCTGAAAGACAGGAAAAGGAAAAATCTCATTGCAGGATTAACCTCCCTGGAGTTCTCTTCTCCTGCTGTGACCACAGCCCCAGACRCAGCAGCTCCTGCCACTCTTCTGAYTGCCCTCTTGCCTTGCAGCACAGACAGTACTAGTCAGCTCTGACATGGCTTTTCATCTCATCTTCTCCCTTCCCTGGCTTTTTGAGAGCAATTACCAGCAGTGTGAAGTGGCAAGAGGCACAGTGGGAACACAGGAAGGACCAAAGCTCAGAGACCTGCATTTCTGTGTGGTGTGCTCGGAGGGCGAGCAGGTACCTGCAAACCAGCTCAGGCTGCCGTGTCCTGGGAGGGCAGAGCTGGGAAGGAGACAAACTGACTTCCCAAATCTGCTCAATCTGTTTTGAGGGTGTCTGTGCTGCTGGATTGCCTGGGAGCAGGGTCAGCCTGCACCATCCTCCCTTTGCAGCCTTGAGAAGAAAGGTAAAAGGATCTATCCGAATAACACCACTGGTTTTACGGCCACTTGTCACTTCCCAGGTTACTACAAGGACACAGGTCCAAGCAAGGCAGTTCAGGAAACATTAATACATCGATTTGCAATCACATCAGGTGGTCAGATGTGGTCACTGTTCTGCTGACTGATGCCAAAATCTCAGTGTTGCTACTGCAATTCCTGCTCCTCCAGCCCCCTCAGCTTTCTCTGATCTGGGCATTGTGCAGAACTGCCTGGCAGGAACCCTGTGCATGCACTGAACTACAGCCCAGCCACCCAAATCCCAGCACCACATGGCCCAGAGGTCCCACCCATCCCAGAGCAAATCCTAAGGCTGTGAACCACCCAGCCTGTGAGTCACAGGGATTTGTTGTTGGCCCATCAGACTCTCCCAGTGCCCTCCAAGGTGGGTGGCATGCCTTGGAGAGGAGAACAGAGTGCCCAAGCCAGCTGTGACTCAGCCAGGATCCCCAGGGAATGGCAGGATGACACACATCTCCCAGGGCCATTGTCTACCCACCCGTCCCGAGCTGATGGCAGCAGCAGCACTAAGCCCAAAGTTCACATCCTTCCCAGACCTCTCCTCTCTCCTGGGAGAGGGGGAACCTCAAAACCTTCATGCATCCAACCCTGCTCCCCTGGGATGCTGCTTCGGCCAGAAAGCATCCAGGTGTGACAGCTCCCTGCTTTTATTTATAAACCTTCCCTGGTGAGAGATGAGCCCCAGRGTGTGTCCTAAACCCCTGTTCCCCATTGCAGGGCATTTCCTATGGCAAAACCCGACTGCCCAGGTGGAGATGCAACTCTTCTTTGAACAGTTCCTTTGGAGCCTGGGTACAGGGCACTGTGGATGCAGCCCATTTCCCACAGGGAGTGAAAAATTGGCTGAAAAAGCTGCCAGTGCTCCAGGGTCACACCAGCCTTGCAGGGGGTGCTGCTCTAGCTGTGAACTTGTCGCCTGAATGAGCCCAGCAGCCCCAGGCACAAGCAGCCTCAGTGAACAGGGAGGTCATGTTTGTAAACCCTCCATGGAACACAGCGCTGGGGAGGAACTGAAGGAAGGGGGACACAAGTTCTGTTGGGGCAGGGACTGCATCAAGCGATGCTGCAGCAGGGCAGGGACCACACTCACCACCCAGGGGAACCAGGAACCAAGAAAAGGGAAGCCATGAGACAGAGCATCTGCTTCTGCTGTTGCACCATCACATAAAAACAGATTTTAATCCCTCTGCTGACCATCCTTTCTGTGCTGACCTACCCACTAACAAGAAATTTTTKGGGGGAGGTTTCCTTTGTATTCCCATCATCCAAAAATTGCCCACAAGCTCTGGGGAGCCTTACATTTTCCTCAAGCTCCTGGTACGCTTCGGCCACCTCTTTSCCATCTGCCAGGCCCGGAAGCTGCCCCGCAGCGGGGGCACAGCCCTGGCTCTCTCCGTGCAACGACTCCCACACCGCTTCCTCCGTGGCGTTTATGGCTCTCAGCACTTTGGCCGTGATCTCACTCAGAGCCTGAGCCGACGACCTCTGCGAGAGCCAAAGCGGAGGGTGGGAGGGGGAGAGAAACAGGGATGTTATTTTAATGTGGTGTATGAAACAACACGAGCCAGAGGTGAGAGAGGCACCAGACCTCCAGGAGCTTTGGGAAGATGGAGCAGCTGTAATTAACGGGCTGACGCTGCTCCTGAAGGGCTCTCCAGCAGGCGGATGAACGGCTACAGCAAAGCTTTGATCTCAGCCCGTGCTTTCTGCAGAGTGGCTGTGACAAAAGAAGTCATCTCAAAAGGCTTTGGAAAAGAGGTTGCAGAGGGATGTTCCACTCGCTGGAAGCACCTGGCCACCTGAAGGCCGCTCGGTTACTCAGCAGTTAAGATCTAATTGCAGCATATTGCTTTACACCTCAGCGGGGATGCAAACAACTCCTTGAGTTTGCAGCAAAAGAGTAGAAACAACCAAACCCCATAAAATGATTGTATTGCCACACTGCCAGAACTTGGGGCTAATRTCCTCTCTTCCCACCCCAAGGAACACTGAGGGCAATAATGCCCCTAAGTGCTGCCCTTGGCTTGATGAGGTGCTAAACAYATGTAAAAATGGGCTGAAGAAACTCATCATGTCTCTCCCCACTGATAATTCCCTGGAAACCAAGGAGATGGGGATGACATATGTGCTGGTTGTGTTTAAACTGCAGTGCATTTCCAGGCAAGCTGTCCTGAAGAGAACCAGCTAGCTCAGTCCAGATGATATTTTTATCATTTTATGGTGCCTGCATGGTACAGTGGAGTTTTTTCACATTTTCCATTAGGATCGTRTGCTTCCATCACAGTGCTCCCCCAGTTGGCAGATTTCCTCCTGAATGGAGGAGACTCATTGAAAATCCCTCAGAATCATGCAAAATCCAAACCTGGATCTGTTGTAAGGGAAGTTGCTCTTAAACATCATCCACTATAGTAACTTTTAACCAAGGCTGGTCCAGCTATTGAAGGCATTTCTGACTCAACACTCCTCCCTGCTTCATAGCTGGGTTTKGGGGCAAAGAAAGTAGCAAATCTGGAGGATCCAGGCTTCACTTCATAATAAACAAGAATCTTACACTGATACCACACAAACCTGTTCAGGGTTTGAGTCTCTGCTGCAAATCAGCAGCTCACATGGGAATTAAAGTCACCTTGGCTTGGTGAGTTATCACTTATCTGCACTTAATCAGAAATAGTTATTAAGGTGATGCAGATTGTTGAATCCATGGGAAGTTGTTAAGTCTGGCTGCAGCAATCATCTAAAAGAATTTCTAAAAAGGAGGCAGCAAAGGATGCTGGGGSTRAGGACACAGCATGCCTCTGATCCTRTGGCAATGRGAGYATAGCAAATGGTTCCCAAACCSACCAGGTTTTGTGTTGTGAGGCTGAGGAACAAATGCACATCAAAAGGAGGCCTCRTGGCACCATGAAAGTCACCAAAACCTCAGGTGAAAGGAGCTTTGCAGGACAGGAGAGGGGCAGTGTGGTGCCCGCTTGCGTCCTTTGCTGCAGTCGCCAGTGRCGGATGCATCGGAGCAAATGCACAYCAGAGCCAAGCAGGAGGGAGSGGATGAACCACCCWRCCMTMWGAGACCCCACAGGGAATGCTGACCTCTCCCTTYGTGCTCATGGATCATCTTGGAGGCTCTGCACAACTGGAGACATGCTGCAGAGGTGCTGTGATACATCTTTCTCTCCCCGACCCATGTCCCCATGGACAGCGGGGACAGGAGCCAACACAGCATTGCAACCACGAGAGATGCTGATCCAGCAGAGGGATCACGGATTTAGGGACTCAGGAACACTGACAGGTGTGGAAAAAACATTCCAGGCTGTAGCAACTGTCTGACAAAGGGTGCCAGTACTAAATCATCATCAAGCTCTTCTCCCACCCCAGGACCCTTCCCCATAGCAACTCCCAGATTCTGGGACAACTCATCTAAGAARATGTGAGTGTCAGACACAGACACAGCCCTGGGAGGCTTCAAGGTGGAGGTGGGGGACAGAAGAAGAGTCAAACTTTTGTGCTGTGAAACCACAAACCACAGAGAGCAGAAGGAATGATGGATRCAGCCTGGAATGGTGTGGGTGGGAGGACACAGGTTACCTTTCGAACATCTCTGGCCATGTCCTCGCTGGAGGAACTCATATCTGGTTTTTTTGCTCCCTTCTTTTCTTCACGCTCCTCCTCTTCAGAAGTGATTTCTTTGTCACTGATGTTGCTGGCCAACTCYTCCAGCTTCCTCTTCAACTCCTCCTCCTCGACATCGGGATCAGGGTGGCACTCTGGGGCCGGAGACTGAAGGAGCAGAAGAAGGGAATTGTGTGAGAGGTTCCTGTGGTGGCCAGAGGGGCATGCCTGGATCCAGGCACACTCACCAGGCAGAGGAGCTCAAGGAGTGTGACCACAGAGGGACTTTGCAAGGGGACTTTGAGCCCCAGCAGTCAAATCCCCCCATGGAACAGCAGAGTCCATAGAGCTGCACTCAGCTCCTCACTGAGGAACACAAAACCTTGACCTACAGAACCTCCATTCCCATTTCTCCCACACAGAACTTGCTTGTTTTTCCCTGTGGAAAACTGCCTTTCCCTCACCCTTAMAAAGGTGTGCCTGGGGAATCTGGGGCCAAAAATCACCACATTTTCATTAGGAACCATGGTGTGGCTGGTGCCTCCGAGGGCAGGGATCACAGTAACCCAAAGATGAGGTCCACCAGGGAGAGGGAAGCAGCCATGGGAATTGCCACTCCCTGAGGTAATCCTGAAATTTTTGGGCAATCTCATTTGTGGTGAGAAACCACACAGCAAATTTCCCTGTGGGATAGATGGCACACTGCCACCCAGCCCCGTTGTTAGGTGCSATTCATGGCAGCTGGAGAAGAATCCCATTAAACTCCCAGGCGCTGGAAGAGATGTCCTGAAGTTCCTGAACTCGCTGACCCTGGCATTAAGGTGGGAATACAATTACCTGCGTCATACCTGGTGGGGTTTTGTCTGAGCTGTTTTTAACAGCTTCCAACAGCAGCATCTGCAGCAGCAAATCATTTCCCCAGGCAACCTATTCCAGGGCTCTGCTATCCTTTCTGCTGGAAAGCTTTGCTTCATGGCTAACCTCAGCCTGTCCCCCACTGCCTGTGCTCTGATTTGCCCTGGATGTGGGGATAAAGGGTGGGAACCTGACACTGTGCACCTCTCCTGATCCCTCTGTCAGGTTTACTGATGGAAACACTGAGTGATTACAATTGTGACTGTCCCTCACTGTGAATTTTGGAAAAAAAAAAGGAGAAATTGCATTGTTTCATCCATGCCTGGGGCCCTTCCCTGTAATTACCACCATCCATTCTACTGAGCTGCCAGAGTGGCGATGGGTTCACATGGAGGAAAGGAGTGCATGGTCTAAAATCAGAAACCCAAAAATCAATGTTAAGCAGTCTGAGTATTCACAGATTCTACATTGTTGCTCAGCTTTAACTTAATTTAGCTGTTTTCTTCCAAGTTTGATGGCATGGTAAGACGAAGGCAGCTTGGAAGAGATACAGAAATGCTCCTTGACTCAGATCTCAGTCACAATAACCAGGTGCCTTCCTCACAGATACTAATTGAAAGTGTCTCATGATTTCAAATGAGCTGTTGCAGCTCTGCAGAAACAGACTCTCATTAACAAAACTCCTGCAATTTGCACTTCAGTAAACTATCAGGCCAAACCCCAATTTTCCTTGTGCAGAAGTGGCCAAGAAAGCACTGGCTTGCACAGGGTCTAAGTGGGTTAAATTTGCTGCTGTTTCTGTCCTGCCATGTAATGTTCTCTAAGGCACTCCACCACCTGGAAGCAGAGAACAGCCTGCAAGGCCAAAACAGAGGATTAAACTCAAACAGCTCAGGTCATTGTGGGACTTAGGGACATGGTTTAGTGATGGCCTTGCCAGTGGTAGGTGAATTGTTGCACTGAGTGAACTTAGGGCTCTCCTGACTTAAATATTCCGGTGACTTTGTCTATCCCTTCCATGCTGGCTGCTCCAGAGAAGCCTCTCCAGGGGAAAGGCCCAGCACAGCCCACACTCCATCCCTGCAGAATTCCTGCCAGGTTACCTCGTCAGAGCGTGTCAGGATTTTTTCCTCCAAGCGGTTCAGCATGCGTTCGATTGCAGACATGCGAGTGTTGAGCTCATGGATCTACAGGAAAGGGGAGAGAGAGAGGGAGAGAGGGAGAAGGAGTAGAGAACAGACCAGCCACCACTGCCAGGACAGCGAGGAAACAGTGCAACCAGCAAAGGAAAGCAAGCAGCATGGCGCTGCCACCCATGGGCAGAGGTAAAAGACATTAAAAAATAGTATCTTTTAAGTAATGTCTTTAAAATGTGAGTAAGCTCCAGGAGGCGCAGAGCAACCTCAAATCTGGAAAACTCCAAGYCACACCGAGCCCCCAGCACATCACAATTCCCACCAAAGCATCTGTAGGTCTGATGCAGTGGATGTAAAACCCCATCACCAATAAAGGAATCAGCCTGTAATAAAGCCATCAGTCTCGCCATCATTCCCATGCWGCCTCAAATTCAAGCCAACATCAGTTTTCACTTCCTATTTTTTAAGTTGTAAATACCCCATCACACTACTGCCAGCACAGTGGTGGAAAAGAAAAGGAATAGAGCAAGAATTTCCCATGAAAAAATCCAGGTAGAAAAACCAAACCTGAAAATCTTCCCTATCACTTTGAAATTTTCTGACTTCTCTGTTCATTGATTTACCCAGATGCTTGCCTTTCTCTTCTCTTCCACTCTCCTGACYAAAAATGAGGCACGGAGAGAAGGGCACAGAAAAGAAAGACAGACTAAATCCTGATAATCAAAGAGAAGTGCTCAAGAACCAAGCCAAACCTTTGTGGTGAGGGTGGATTTGGATTAGACATTAGGAWGAAATTCTTCCCTGTGAGCGTGGCRAGGCCCTGGCACAGGTTACCCAGAGAAGTGGTGGTTGCTCCATCCCTGGRAGTGTCCCAGGCCAGGCTGGATGGAGCAGCCTGGGATAGTGSAAGGTGWCCCTGCCCATGGCAGAGGGTGGAATGAGATAKTTTTCAGATCCATTTAAACCAAAGCATCTCTATGATCTATGATCACTGAAAACATTAAAGGAAGCTTTTTTCTTCCCCTTTAGAAATTGAAGTTTTTCTTTTCTTTGAAAAAAACCACAAGTCTCTCTCCTTTGATCCAAATAAATAAACCACAAATGATGAGGAATACTGCCCATTTTATGATGCTACCAGTGCATCACTGTTGTTCTGAGTGGCTGCTGCTCATTCAAAGGGGAACAAGCAGCAAATGTGTTAAGCAAAGGTAGTAACAAAGAGATGTGAGGGGTGGGCTTTGTTTTTACAACATTTCCATCCTCTCACTTAGTTTTTGTGTTTGCTAACGCTTTATTAATTAGACCCTCACAGCAGCTAGGGATGATTGCATCTGATTAAGGGGAGATGAATATAAAAACCTGGCACTGTGGAGAGCAGGGCACTGTCATTACCACCCCGAACTGACAGCATCTCCAAGCAGCATTAAACCCAAGGGCAGGAAGCACTTCAGCCCATGGCTAAGTGTTTTTTCAGTCCTGTTCAAGGCCTGAGTCTTGCATTGCTCTCAGTGACAATAAGAAGCCTCTGATGGCCCATCAGCCTCAGAGATGGTGACAAAGGAGTCACCRCTGCCCTACCTCCCTAAAAAGAGATTGGGAGAAATCAGACCCTAAAGCACAGGCTGCTGTTGGTATTGATGGATATCTCTACCAGGATAGGAGCTGAAGAGCTTCATTCCCCATCAAGGCTGGCTTTGATGCAGGGTGGACACTCCATAAGGGCATGTCCCCATCAGGGACTGGCTCATCCTGCACTCTCTCAGTGTGACAAAGGCTGGCTTACTGTGCTCTGCATTAAAATATTCAATGGGAATAAACTTAAAGCACAGCCCCTGAGGTGAGCATCCCTCTCTCTAAAACCCAAGGCCTCTAACAGAAGATTTATGTGTGTAAAGAAGAGAAGCCAGGCAGCATCAAAGCTTTAAGAATCCAGAACCACTGAGCTCCCTTRAGGTACAGCAGGATGGCATCTGGGGAGAAACTTGGTGAATTGGAGCTATTTCTTGTGGCTTGGTCCTGTTCCTGCATGGCTTCTGAAAATCTAAAGGCCAAGGCCTGCACAGGCACCAATTCAGGCCTTCTTTTYGTGTCTCATCAGGTTTAAGTGCTTTTTTAAAACAGTTTTTTTAAGTTTTGTTCTAGAACCTTCAGTTCCTGGAGTCACAAAAMAAGGGAGCAGTATCTGCTTTACAAAGCTTCTAGTGTTTGGGACTGAACACTGTATCCTCTCCAGAACTAAAGCCAATGTGGTTTCTAAATCAACCATATTTTGACCAAGTTGCCCCTAGAAGTTTTAGGAGGAGACAAGTTTTCATCTGTGTGGTCAAAGAGCTGAAATCTCCACCTCTCAAACCTTCAGATGACAACAAGGTGTCTGCCAGGACAACACTGMATTTGAAGCTAGACTTTGGGATTCAATTCAGGACCAACAGACACGATTCTGCACCCTGCCCCAGCACAGAGCTGGGTGTCTCCCTGCCGGGTGAGGAGCAGGCTGGGTGGGAGGATGGTTGCTGGCTGTAAACACATCAGCAGCACAAAGGGCAGGGAGGATGGGGAGACAATTAAGCTAATGAGGTAAGAGCAGATGGGGGTAAATTGGGAGTGAGAAGATGCCTTCTAACCATTAGGGTGACAATGCTCCACACCAGCCTTCCTGCTGCTGTTAGGGAGCAAACCACAGCCTGATGTGAGGGCTTGCCCAGCTCCTGGAGGAAGGCATGGGAGGCGTTGGTAGGAATTTGGCCCCATTTCCCCTYTGCAAAGCACGGTGCACATTTCATGCCTAATGTAGCATGGCCTCGTTAAGGACACCCAGCCCAGGGTTTTAAATTCTCCCATTTATTGCTGGCTGAAGAAGGAATGGTATTCACTAATTAAAACTTGTGCCCACAGAAGTAAATGGCAGAGAGAARCTTTCCCTCCCCAAGCACACAAGGTGTGGTGCCAAGTGATGGCTGTGCTCAAATATCTCACACTGATGACCCAAAAAGGAGTCCAGGACATGCAAAACACCAGCTGTGAGACTGGCAGCTGATTCTGCACCCTGTACCTGTGTCAACCACCCTGCATTTTGCTGCTCATGAGATCTGAGGAATGTTTTACCACCATCCCCACCCACCACAGGCAAAGGTGGCACCAGGAACAGCAGGTGCTTGCTTGACAATTAAAATACAAGCTTAGACCCTGTTTGACACCCTTTTTTAGCCTGTTCCCCCCATTATCATGAGTCAGGAGAGGTATGTGGCAGGTCATCCTGACCCAGTCCTACTGAGGCAGGAACACAGTGCAAAGGAGGAGAAGGACCTTGGTGTGCTTATTAAATATCCATCTCCAGACCTCCAGCTGATTATTAAGCACTGGCACATTCAATTAAAGAAAGCCTTTCTGGGCACACAAGAACACACAGGTAGCTCAGATTAATGAGGACAAGTTGGAAAACGAACARCAATGAAGGCAGGTTTGTCACTGCCATGGCAGCTTGGGCAGAGGGAAGCACCAACCAATGCCTGATTTTCTTTTTGCTGTGACTGGAAAAGCCCACCCCTGTTTACCATTGCTGCTTCTCTTCTCTGAGCCACCCTGCACCYCAGAGGCGATAAGAGGGCCTTGGCCACAGGCCTGGCCTCACCAAAGGCTGTTTGATACCTGGTTGGAAGAATGGCTGATGTTCTCCTGGGAGGAGGCTCTGTTCCGGCGTTTCATGTGCTGGGGTGGGTAGGCAGGGAACTGAGCTCCTTTCATGTCCTCATCCGAGGTGTCCATATCTGCCGAGTACCGCGCCCGGGGTGGCTCGTTCCAGGGGATGCCTTTGGGGACAGAAAGGCACAAGCCATTCACACCTTTGAGCTCATTCCTGGACATCAACCCCATCCTTAAGAGAAGCTAATAATGAGGCATTTCCYCAGATCACACTTTCCACCTTTTGGCAGGAGGTGCCTCTACAAGCCAGACTGAGTTTAAGGATGGCTGCACTGACCAGGCTGAGTGTCCACAYGCTGTGTCCACGCAGCATCAAGCACAGCAGGATCCCACACAGGGAGCACCATCCTTGATCTCATGCCCTGAACAGCCAGGCCCCTCACCAAAAACCACAACTGCCTTCCCAGTTTTGTAGGAGCCAGGTTTGGACACTGCCCTTTGTGAACTGCCCAGGTGCTGGAAGATGTCTGGCCTCAGGCTAGAGAGGTACAAGCCTAGGAGAGAGCATTTATAAAGAGTGGAAAGTCTCCTGTGTAAAGGAGAATTTCAAATGAAACCAAAACAATGAGAGAAAATGGAATTAACATGACAGGGGATCTTGCTGCTGTGTTGCTCTGGCAGGACTTGGAGTGGGAATTTAACCAGCCATKTTAAGGCCTACCCAGCATTCCTAAATGGCCTGAAAATACAGCCAGGCCATTGGAGCCACAGAAGGACATACTCCACATTTGCATATGCACAAGCCAGTATCCAGCCCTCCTGGCTCTGCCATCTCTGCAGGRAAAACAAAGGTTATACAAGGTAAATTTTGCCTCTTAGGAGGTATTTATAGACTCACAAAACCATGGATCACTTAGCCTACCCATGCACCCTGCCCAGATGCAAGGATGCCACTTAGCAACCTCCAGGTCTTGCCTCCAAGCTCACTAAAAACTCAAAGCTTTCTGCACCCACAATCTCTACCAAGGAGTTGAACTCCTCTGGCCCTGCCTGCGGCAGGAAACACATCCTGTTGTTTCTAATAGTGTCAATTTAATTGGATCTAGTTTCCACCCTGGAAAACACCAGTAAGTATGAAAGGGTGGACACCTTAAGAAAAACCCCTTTTGGCTTTGGTGGGAGCAAGACCAGCCCTTTACAACTAAATAACATCACCAGATTCTTTCATAAGAAAAATCACTTTTGCAGGTAGATAAATAGTGTTGACCCTCAAGCCTCCCCGGGGCTTTAAGGTTGTTCAGAAAAACAAAAAAAAACAAAGACATTTTCATTTTGGTCCAACTGTTGCAACCATTTGTCCCAAGAGGATACAAGAGGAACCTGGACAGGGATACCTACCAGGCTTTGGGTTTCTTTCCAGGCTCCTTCTCCGTGCGTTGACCGTGAGCCGAACCTCTGTGCTGAAGTGCTGCTCCGGAGCGCTCATGCCCGGCTCCTGCAGGACATGGTGGAACACCAGGTCTGCATCCGTGATCCTGGACTCCTGGGAGCCATCCTCAGCTGAGTTGGGGAAATCTGGGAAGGACTGAGAGTTGAGGATGCTGCTGAGCAGCTGCCCTTGAAGATTCCACTTGTGAGAGCCCACCTGCAGTGCTGCCTCCAGCTTGAGGGCCCATAGTAAGAACAAGGTGCTTGGGGAGCTGTGACTGCCCCATCCCTGGAAGTGTCCAARGCCAGGTTGGATGGGACTTGGAACAACCTGGGAYAGTGGRAAGTGTCCCTGCCCATGGCAGGGAGCTGGGATCAGATATCTTTACTGCCCCTCCAACCTAAATTGTTCTAAGATTCTACAACTCCTTGTCTCTCCTGACATTACTAAGAGCTCCTCTCTTTATTCRTCAATATATGCATGGATTGACTTTTTATAATGCCAATTATATTTATATAAAATATAAAAATTCCTAATAATCCCATTTGAAGGCTTTGCCTGTCTGCTGAACCTTGAGCAATACTGCCCTTGACTGCCAGGGGGCACTGGTAGATTTTACAAGMACAGAGTTCCTCCAGCCTTCCTTCAGTTCCCTCAGGCTGCAAAACCCTCTGATCTTTTAAAACATCATCCCCTTCTATTTATTCAAACCACCACCCCCTCAAATAGTCTGCAATCGGTAAATCCAATTCGACAGAGGCCAGCTCTCACACTTAATTCTGCTGCAAAAAGAAGAATCTAATTATTCCCCTCAAATTCTAATTATTTTATGTGGAATTGTGCAGATTTATGGTTTTTATTACAGATCTCAGCACATTCTACTTTTATCCATTAATACCGTTTGAAGTATCAAAGCATCATTAGAAGGAAGGAGCTGTTGAATGTTTTTTAGAGTGCAATTTCACCAGGGAAGGCAAACGAGCAGCCCAAAAAAGCTTGACCCGAAGCCCCTCAGACTGGAAGACCTTTTGCCACATCCAGGATCACCCCWTCTGTGTTCCTCCCCAGAGCTGGAAGGTGGGGTTGGTCGACTGCTGGCCCTGAGTGGGATCACAAGGGATGGCTYCCTGCACTGTCTGGAGCTGTCTGAGTGCTGCTGCTGGCCAGAAGCTCTGGACATCAAGGCACAYTTATTCTCCTATTTAAAACTAACCAGCGTTCCTGCAGTTTTTGCTCTCCTGGTGCTCATYCCTCTGACTGGCTCTCACTCACCAGGCTCTGTGGGATCCACCTCACCCTCACAAAGGCTGTGTGCCTCATGGAGCTGATGGCCAACTGCACCCAGTGCTGCCACATRGGAAAACCAGCCCCAAACAGACTGGCTGAATCAGAAGAATCTGATTTCATTTAATCCCTTRAGCACCGAACTTGCTGGAAACCAGGGTGTGTCCCATAGCCTTGGGACAGCACAAGGAAAAGATTGTCTGCAGAGAGCAAGCAATACTGCAGGAACATGGCCAGAGAATCTTTTGCTGTCTCATCTTACCACTCATCCTCCCCTGGATCAGATGCCCTGCTCCTCACTTGGCCTGAGGCAAAGGACTTCAGTTGGAAGAAGAGATCACAAGCAGCAATGGGGAGCAAGGATTGGCACCATTGCCTCCCAACACCAGCTGAAGGAGGTTTTAAAGCTGAAGGAGCAGTGGCAGCAAGAAGAAAGGAAAGTAACCCCCCAGGAATGTCCCAGTACCTGGAAAGCATCTGGGCTGCTGGCTGCTGGAGAGAGCTGCAGGGACTGGCGGCGAGACTGAGCAGAGTAATCCGAGTCCAGTTCAAAATCAAAGGGGTGCACAGACAGCAGSCGCTTTGTCTTGCACATCTTTAGCATAGAAAGTTCAAGAAAGGAAAACCCAGTGTAAGACACAGTTGACCTTCAGGAAAGGGGGAGGGAGGCCTTTGTCTCCTTAGTTTGCCTGAGTTTGCTCTGCTTTTTGCAGAGAGAATGTGGGCCTGACTCTGTCTTGTTTGAAGGGACTCAGAGCAGCATGTGCTGATGCTGAAGGTAAGGAAGATTTCCACAGCCTCTGGCTCAGGACTGCTGCCACAAGCAGARAATGAGAATCTCTCCTCGTTTATAAAGGCACTGTGGGAATGCTGAGCCAGGTTACAGCTCAGAGAGAGATCCAGAGGATGCTTTTGACTCCTGAAGCAGCTCCCCATCCTCAGAGGAAGGATGCTGCAGGCAGATCATTCTAAWTATCTGGGAGGTCATCAGTAAAAAAAACCAAAACAGGTGAGCTCTCATTATACAGGTAGGAGCTGGGATTTTATATGAATTGGTGACATCCACAGTGTTAGGAGTGGGTCTTTTTTCCAGAGCACGAGTATTTATGATGTTACTGACCACAGTTGTTTTTACACAAACTGAAAGGAAAGGAGCTTTTGTCGGAGAACAAAAACAGAGAGAAAGGCCCAGTTTTGAAAATGGCACAGAAAGCCATCACCACTGCCACCACCACCACCCAAGGCAGGCCAGGGACACAGGGTGAGGCAGTGGGAGCTCCAGAGCCACACACTCACTCTGCTGTAGCGCTCTGCTTCAGCTCCACGAAGGACATTGTCTTCCTCATCGCTGTCATCCCCGGCGTCACAGCTGGTCAGCAGCTGGCACTCTCCTGGAGGGGACACAGACAGCAGGGAAGTCCCCACCCTGGTGGGCACACCAGTGTACCTGCACTTATAYGGGGTCAACAGGTCCAGATTAGAAATAACTGCCTGAATTCTTTTCTGCTGATGCCCACTTTTAGTACTTGATCTTGCAAAGGCTTGGCTGGCCTCTCACTGCTTCCCTTTCCAGATGYGCACCACCACAGATGTGGAAGTAAAGGAGCTTCTTCAGCATACAGAGCACCCTGAGACCCACCTGAGTGACTCCAGTGCTTGAAGGCTCAGGGGCTATTCCTGATTCCCACCAGCCAGCTCCTCCATTTATCAGTGACCCAGTGCTTTGAGACAGTGAGTGCTTGCAAATTCCAAGCTTGGCATGTAACCAAAAAGCATGATGTGCCCAAACCTACCCCTGGAGACCCCAGAAGTACCRCAGTGCAAGAGTTGAGCACTACAGTCCACCTCCACTGTGGTGTAGGAATGTTTTCCCTAGTCTGACCACTCCAATCTCTCCAGAAGTGCCCAGGGTRTGAAGAAAAAAAGACATTGGAAACCTTGCTTGAGCTGCTAGTCCCCTGCTGCAATCCTCGTTTTTACTTACTGTTAATGTCTGGCAGGCTGTAAACTCTGTCATGAAGACCTAAACAAAGAGACAAATGGTGGGAAAAATAAATAATAACATTTTTTTCCTTGAGCAAAGGGCAAGCCTCAGAGCCATGGCTAACTGGAGTTCTCGTTTTCTATCCCATCACAATAAACAATGGTTAAAAAGGCTCTTTAAAGAGAACAAAACAGACAGTTGGGAGACAGGACTTGACTTTTAAAAGTCAAAGAGCTGCTTGCTACCACTTCCCCAGGCTGATGCAACATGCCTGGGGGCYGCAGGGGAAGGCACAGCCAACTGCAGATGGACAGGGATACATCCCAGGAGGAGATTCTTGCTTGCTCCAGGGTCAAGCCAATTCACTGGTGTTAATGAAGTAATAAACAACAAAATCATTTCCTTTTGAACAAAGCATCAGAATCTCAATTTAAAGCAGCCCAAGGCGCTGTTACCCTCATGCTTGGTTGGCTTTTTGTGTGCTCTGATGCATCTTCGGTCCAAACAATGCATGGATTGTCTCTCAGTCCATTAATTTTTTTTTCTGCTATTTCTGCCATGAACAGCCTGGCTAAAAGAGTGACTGGAGCAGCTGAATCAGGTCATGTCAATGGTATGTGTGCAAACCTCCCTGTGGCTCCTCAAGATGGGAATAAAYTCCACATTGGGCTCCAAAGGAAATAGGCCAAGGAACAGAAACTCTGTGAATGACAACTGGGAGTTACTTAGTAAATAATGCTGTATTAACATCATCAGATATTTATGCACTCTTGCACCAATACCAGAAATATGGAACGTCCGTGAAGCTCTGAAGAGAACAGTTTTAGTGACATGTAGCTCACTAATTTTGGTACAATTTTGTCAGGGCCAGGGGATCATCAGATTGGTTGTAAAAAATCATTAGGTCATGGGGAAAAAAATTAGGGCTGGCTTTATCCTGCAGGTTAAACTAGGGTTAATTCCACAAGCTCTGTGATGAAAAGGACAAAAAAAAAAAGAAAAACAAGAGCTGCAACTCTTACAAACTGCAGGACATGGGACTTWTTAAAATAAGCATGAGGTATTAGGAATTTTATTTCATTGAAAGGATGGTCATATASTGGAACAGGTTGCCCAGGGAAGTGGTGGAATCATCATTCTTGGAAGTGTTCAAAAAAAATGCAGATGTGGCATCCAGGAACAYGGTTTAATGGTGGTCTTGGTAGTACTGGGTTGGATTGGATGATCTAGAGGTTTTCTCTGACTCTAATGATACTAAATTCTCAAGTCTGTGATAAAAACTTGGGACTTAACAGCAGAAAAACCACCAAGAACATTTGTCAGTGCATAAATGAATAACTCTGAACCTCTGCTTCCTCCCTGAGATATTTTGAACRATCTTGGTATCCCATGGCACTCGGGGCAGCATCGACTTGGTGCATCCCAAGGTGGTGCAGCACAGATGCCACACRTGCACCAGTGGCCATTCCTCACCTAGAAACGCAGAGTTGAGCCCCTGGCCCGGCTGCAGCCTGCCATAGAGGGACTGCAGCACTTTGGCACTTCCAAACCTCTTGAAGCGAGACCGCACATGCTCGTAGTACCACTCCAGGGAGCCGATCTTCACGATCCTGCCCGAACAGAGGAGGAACACCCAGGTCAGCCAGTTCAGCCATGCTCATGGTGAGCAGACCCTCACTCAAAAAAATGGATCTTAACAAAAACACAGCGTATTTTCATCTAAAAGGGTGCCTCACCCTCGAGGCTCACCTTGTCCCTCAGCCTCCCCCAGAGCAGACCAGCGAGGAGTGGTGYTCCCAGGGGCTGATATGGGGACTGGAATTCTTTAACATATATGTTACTGACATGGACAGTGGGATTGAGTTTGTTGGTGACACCAAGCTGTGTGGTGCTGTCACATGCTGGAGGGAAGGAGTGACACCCAGAGGGACCCTGACAGCCTTGAGAGGCGGAGCTCTGAGAACCTCATGTGGTTCAACAAGGCYAAGTGCAAGATCCCACCCCTGAGTTGGACAAATCTCAAGCAAAATGACAGACTGGAAGGAGAATGGATTGGGAACAACGCTGGGAAGCAGGAGGACTTGCGGGTGCTGGTCGGTGAGAGTGTTGACAAGATCAGAAATGTTCACCGGCACCCAGAAACCCTGTCATGTGCTGGGCTGATTCCACAGCATGGGCAGCAGGGGAGGGGGGGTTTCTGCCACTCTGCCCCACTCAGGTGAGACCCCTTCTGCAGAGCTGCTCCAACTCTGAGGTCCCCAACAGAAGGATGTGAAGCTGATGGAAACAGACCAGAGGAGGCCATGGAGATGCCCTGAGGGGATCTAGAGCCCCTCTGCTCTAGAGCCCAGCTGGGGGTGTTCACCTGGAGGAAGAGAAGGCTCCAGGAAGACCTCAGAGCCCCTTCCAGCACCTGAAGAGGCTCCAAGAAAGCTGGAGAGGGACTTGGGACAAGGGCCTGGAATGACAGAATGAGGGAATGGCTTCCAGAGGGCAGGGGTAGATGGGATATTGGGGAGAACTTCTCCCCATGAGTGAGCCTCTGGCACAGGGTGCCCAGAGAAGCTGTGGCTGCCCCATCCTTGGAATTGTCCGAGGCAGGCTGGACAGGGCTCGGAGCAACTTTGTCTAGTGCAAGGGTAGGGGGATAGAATGAGCTGGGCTTTCAGGTCCCTTCCAACCCAAACCATCCGACAATTCCCTGAGGAGCAGTACCTGGAGAGGCGGCAGGGATCGCAGACCCAGCCCTGCTCCTTCTTGTTGTAGCGGCTGCAGTTCTTGCAGGTGTAGAAGTGGCAGTCCAGGCACTGCCGCTTGCTGTTCAGCAGGAACTTGAAGGGCTGCAGGCAGTGGACACAGTGAGTGTCATTGAGGTGGGACTGATTTGTCAGGAACTCTCTCTTGCTGCTCTCCTGGTCGATCTTGCATTTCAGCTCCCTGCAGACGACACCCCAAAAAGCAGGAACTTGAGTTTGTTATCATCTCACTGCAAACCCTCACGTGGCAAAGCCCATCACGCCACAATCATTGCAGGAACGATTTTCCAGGGAACATTCCRAGTCTGCAGCTTGTGGAAACAGCTGTAGGGCAAATCTAATAAATAACATATCACGAGTTAAATAAGCTAACAACAAAGTGGGCTCCAGATTCAGGGCGGGTAACTGGAGTTTAATATTAGATTTAATGTAATATTAGAATCCCAGAATATTCTAAGTTGGACAGGACCCACAAGGATCATTAAAAAAAAATTTGATTGTGCCAAAACCTGCCCTGTTTGTTTCACAGGGTGTTGATCATAAATGCCAGGAATCTCAGGAGAGTGGCTCTTCTTGAACCCTCTGGCTGTATCCCAATCTGACACAATCTTCAAGCCTGGAGTCCTGCAGGGAATTAAAATCTTTTGGGAATTCTTAAWTAAAAAAAAAAAAAAAAGAAGAAATCTCGGATTAAAAAGGATTAAAAGTGGTTTTAATATAGTCCTYCAGTRCTAGAAATTCATCAGAGAGTTTTGTTAAGTGATGTGCAACAAGGTTCTGGCTGTTCAGAGGACGCAGCAGGAGGAGATGCTTGTGACAATCCCGTGCAAGGGGAGCGCTTTCCAAGAACACCTTCTCCTGGCAGTGCCTCCCTGCAAGATTCCTTCACTATCCAGACCTGGCTGCTAGAGCAGGTCCCCATGGAAAACAGTGTCTGCATGAGGCTGAGCTCCCAGCACCAGCTGGGGACAGCTGAGATGCCTGCCAAGCTACTGGGTGCCCCTGCACTGCCCAAAAGCTCTCTGTTTGCTCCCTGTGCCACGCACCACTTCAGGAATGTTTGCCTTTGGGGCCATGGCTGAGAGGAAAATGTTTGACTTGTAGGGAAGGTTCTGGAAAGGTGTTTTCTCTCCAGAGAGGGTTAGGAAGCTGTGTTTTATAAAGTAGAAGCCAGCTTGGGTTAAAACCCTCATGCAATCARGTCTGGAGGCTGCTGCAGGATCACAGAGTGGGCCACAAGGCTCTGGTGATGCTCCAGTGCCGGACAGACACCAGTGTGACCACAACAGGAGCTGAGGTGACTACAGCAGGAGCCTGGCTGGCCCTGGGGGCAGTGGTGTGACTGGCAATGGGACGGACAGGCACGTCAATCAAGCTAATCTCTGTTTAACCTAATCAGTTTGCACATTAGGGCTCAGCTCTTGGGTTGTTTTTTTTCTGAGGAAGAATTTTCTGGCCAGCTGGCTGCCAGCACACCACAAGACACATTTTTTGGTGTCAATCCTGTTTGTGTTCACACCAGAGTGACAGCAGCTTGCTTTTTCATCTGGGTTGTGTAAAAACCAGAATAAAGACAGAAAACTGGACACCTGCTTTGTATAATCAGCCATCYTAGCAGTGCTTTGGGCAAACTGGTGCGAATGTCCCAGCAGTAAATTTAAGTGGCTTCTAGAAACCCTCAAATAGAAAAMCCTTGGGTTGGACTCAGTATTCCTTTTCCACTCCCGTGCTAAGGCTGTTGCCAGCAGGATCCAATCTTTTTTACGGGAACTGCTTTTTCTGGTTCCCAGAGACCGGTTGGATCCCTTCACCTTTCCTCCTCCCTCACCCACCCGACCTGCCAAAGGAAGGACGAGTCTCAGCCAAACCAGTTTAAAACTCGCAGGAACCGCATGCCTCTTGTCTCCTCTCGCTGGCAGGAGCACCAGCCAGCCCCTTCCCTGCTCTGCTCATGGCAGAATGAATAAATTCGTGGTGCTGGGATGCCAACTGTAGCAGGGTTGGACCTATTGAGCTCCAGGAGAGATGCAGGGAACCATTCCCCAAAAACAGGGTTGTGGGCATGGATGTTTCAGTAAAGAATCAGGGAGAGACCCCGCAAAATGGCTATTATTTAATTTTTTGGGCAAAGGATTGCTCTCACATGCCAAACGTGCAGTTTGTGTCCAGCTGAAGCCTTTGTCCCTTGTTGRTGAATAGCTTCTGTCAAAAACAAAATACAAAGCAGCAGCAGAAAGGGAAGAAAAAGACCAAGCTGAGGAGGGGGGGAGGTCGGGGCATTTCTTCAAGGCTGGCAGGTTGAGACAAGCCCAGTGAATAGAAAAGTAAATGGGGCTGGTCAGAGCACAGGGTGAATGGCTGCAGGGTCTCCCATAATGTCACATCATGTCCCAGCTTGTTAGAGACAGAAAATGCTTGTGTAGTTCCATGTCCAGCATGCAGGAATGTGGTGGACTTTCCAGGACTGGTAGTCTGGTCTGCAGCAGAAATCATTCAGAAATTACAGAAATTTCTGTAGCTTAGCACGGTTAATGCCAGCCCTCTGCAGGACAGGATTAAACAAGAAAATCAAAATTAAAAATCAGGGGAAATGATACTTAGGGGGAGAGACACCAGCTGGGTAGAAGCATCCTGAGACCTTCCCCTACATCCTACATCTCCCATAGCATGGCACTCAATCTGGAAGCTTCCTGGGCATCAGAAAGGACAKGGACAAGCCAGTCTGGCGCCAAGGTCAAGTAGAGAAGGAATTCACCTCGCCCAGTTCTTTGCTGCAGGGCACAGCAATGTAGGTCCCCACCTCCTCCCTCCAGGCTGAGCTCAGATGCATCACAAGGGAGACATTCACCCTTTGCAGGGTGATAATTTTTTTAAATATCCCTGTCTGATCTCTTTCCTGCTCTTCAGAGCTACCAGCAGAGGAARGCAGTAGATGATGATACTGAATTATCTCTGCCTCCCACGCAGGCTGGTTTTTCTTAAGCAAAAAAAGTAATCAGGGGGGTGAAAAATATAGGACCGAGAGTTTCTTGTAGTTAATAGTGTGTACTATAGTAGTTAATAGTGTGTACTATAGTAGTTAATAGTGTGTAGTTAATAGTGTAGAGAAGTTCCCATGAAGGTAAGTTTTGGGGGATGCAGAGTTCCCAAACCAAGAAAGATGCCCATCACTCCTCACCTTTCCTTTTGGATCTGACAGAACTAATGAGCTCCTGGTCCCCAGGCATAGTYGTGGTATCAGCACCAGCCCTGGTTCACAAAATTCTGAGCTACGAGGGTCTGAGAGCTCAGAGGGAGTGCAGCACTGCCCAAACCCAGCCTGGGAGCATGGACCACCCCTGTGGAATAATAGGAACTTGGCCAGATCCTGAAGAGGGTCACTGCAGCTTCTTGAAATACATCAAGACATTACTAATTTCAGCGTCTGATGTAGTTAATCAGCAAGACCTAAACTCCTGCAATTTCTCATGCTCAAAATTTAATCTCATCTGACATAACTTTTTTTTTTTTAAACAGCACTTTTGTCCAATGCCCTGTTTATAAGGACTTAGAAGTTCACAGAATTTGCTGCTCCAATGATTTTCAATCTTTTCCCAATCTGTGGGCCCCTAAAACCTTCCCAGGACAGCACAGTCACCTGTATTGCATATTTAAGTCTACTAAAATAGGTTTACTACTAGCAGTATGTTTACTACTYCTCTCAGTTACTTTTTCAGCATTCTTCAGGGATCTGTGGGCTCCCAGGACCCGCTGAGGAACTCCCGCTCGAAACACACGAGACCCATCACATGAAACAAAATCCAGGGAGCCAGAYCCCATCTCCCCTTGAGAGCCCCATCAGCCTCAAGCTTCACACAAGCATTTCCTGGTATTTGTCCCCATAAAGTGCTGCAGTGTCACCGATCCGCATCGCTGCCGATGGCACGACGCCAGTTTGCACCTTTGCTGCCCGAATGCGTCACCTTGCCGCTGATAACGTAATCTATTAACMGTGTTTGACTTTCACAACCCGATCTCCTGCCGTTCCTCCTCGCCCACAGCCTCAGCAGATTGTTTTATCCCTACAGCCCACGGRGACCGGCAGGTCTGGCTCGCTTGCCCCCCAACTCAGAGACCGGAGTTCCTGATACTCACTCCAGCCGTTCCTCCTCTTTTTTCCGCAGATCAAAGTCCCGTTGAACGACTTCCCAAACATGCTTGGCCTCTTCGTCGGTGAGCTTGGAGAGGTCCAGCTTCCTGCCCATCTCGGTGAGGGCTGAAGCCGATCCCGTTACTCGCTACCCCGAGCGCTCGCTGTCCCGCACCCTGCTGGGATGCTGCTGACGGAGAGGGAAGAGCTCAGCCCCACCTCCGCGGCTGCCCATATAACCGGGCAGGGGCAGAGCTGCGGGCAGGCCAGCCGCCTCTTGGCAGCACCGCAGCCGCTCTGCCGGGCGAGCCTGCCCGCGGAGCCGGCCGCCGAGCAGGGCTGGCACGGTGCCTATCGGCTGCGGGGGCTCCKCGCCAGCCGGGAGGGTGGCCCTGCCTTCCCCCGGGGTCCGGCCCGCAGCTGTAGCCGCTCCAGACCTCGCCCGCCTGGCTGGGGCTACGGGAGATGTTTACTCTCTGCCTGCTTGATGCTGGGTGTGCGAATGAAAGGGAGCCTTCAAACGCCTCCCCGGGGAAGGCAGGCCACGGGCTTTGGGAGGGAGCTGAGCATCCCCGGGAGGAGCTGTGCCTGCACACCCGGGAAGACCGGCTCCATCGCCGTGCCTCCTGCCCCTCCAGGATGCTCTGCTCCCCAGCTCGCTCTTCTGTGTCTGATCTCATTACACAGATTTTGCCACCACCTAACAGTTTGTAAGGAAAGCTTAAGTGCATCTGGCTTCCCCCCCACACCAGAGACTAGAGTCCTGCATCGCTCTCACAGCAATTTGGGCAGCTGAGAGCTTTGTTTGTGGCAAACACCTTAATTAGGACGCAGCACTCCCCTCGTTTGCCGTGAGCAAGAAGAGACGGTTGGACAGGATTTTAAGAAAAGCTCTAAGCACACCACATAGCCAAAGAGATATAAATTGCAATATATATCTGACTACCAAGGCTGTTTTCTTGCTCAGTAAAACACTCCCTTCTGTGTCTAGGGATATTAAACCCATTTTGCATCTTCATCAGAGCAAATATTGATGTACTCACATTTTTTTTCCTCCCTGACAGGAATGTAAACAGGGAGCAAGATGGCAAGACCAAAGAGGGAAACTGTTCTGCCTGGTGAGACTAAGATCCCTGCTGCTCACCCAGAGGCACAGGGAATTATCCACCCTGGTAACTCGCTTGAAACAAAGATTAGATTAAACTCTATGAACAGASCCAGAAAAGCATTTTGAATCCAAATTTGGATGGATTTTGTGCAGAAAAGGTGATGACTACACATGGAGCGTTTGAGCCTGGATATCAGGAATGCATGATCTTCTGTGGAAGCCAGAAATTGATTTCCAGCTCCTCTTCCAGCAGAGATACTGTCCCGACAAAAGCAATCAGTTTATTGGCAGGAGCCAGACATCAGTTGGGCAGGTCCTTATGTAAGCGTGTTTGAGAGCCCTTGCGCCCCACTGCATCCAAACAGGGAGCGGTCAATAGTTCCTAATTAACATCACAACCAGACCCTGTCCCAGGGCCTCCCGGTGCCAATCACGCCAGGAGCTCTAACCGCCCCAGATCCCAATACTTTCTCCTCCAAAAGGATAAAGAGGTTGTGTTAAATCAGGAAGATGCGGCCTGCTATGCAATGAAAATGTGAAAAATGCAAGTGTTCTGCAGTGCCACTATCCCCTAAGAAGTGCTGGCTTAGCCAGAAAACCACCTCATGGGAAATGTCATGGATGCAGGAATAAATTCAAAGTATTCCATTGGCAAAGTTCTGCCTGGGAGCTGAGTCTCTTTAGGGAAGCTCTCCTCCCTCAGCTCACTGTTGTGTGTAACAGCAAAGACAGAATTATTTTCTTTTTTTTTCCTCCTCTTTCAATGGTGTTTGTTGGATTTTGTAGCAGTTCAGAGCCAGCAACCACCAGGCTTCCAGCAATCGTCTGCCTTGAGGAGACAATTAAACCTGCCTGCCCACAGCTCCCTCCCTCATCATACAACCACAAATAAAGGCTCCCAAACCTTACAGACCTAAGCAAAAGAGAAGAAAACCCCACACCCAGAACAACTCAGACAAACACTGTCACATGGAAGTCTTAAAAAATGTGTGGATATGGCACCTGGGGATATTGTTTAGTGGTGGAGCTGGCAGTGTTGAATTACTGGTTGGGCTCAGTCTTAGAAGACTTTTTCACCCTTTATGATTCCAGGCTATAGGGCCAGATAATGTTATGCATGTGCCTAAATCCATCTGCCCCTGCAGTGACCAAACGTGTCTGGGGTGGAAATCAGGAGCAGGGATGTAAAGGAAATTTTATGTGTTTGCTCTTATCTGGAGGCTCAAATGGACCTCATGCCCAGTTGAATTGGGGATATGGGCACCTTGGTGGCAAAATGGGAGAGGGAAGTGCCACAAGCTAAACCTCTCCTGGGAAATAGGTGAGGTGGATCCCAGGCTCCATTTCTGATTTTCATTATTACCAGATGATAAAAGAATGGATTTCTGGGGTATCTTTAGGAGAAACATGCACTTCTAGCTGCAGGGTCCCTCTTTTAAAAGTAGCAGTCGCATGAGCTGTTATCTTTGCCATTCTTGGTAATCATTTGTAAGACAACTGTGAGCTGATATATAAGACATGTGGCCTGGATCTTCTCCAGCCATTTATTTCACAATGTTTTAACTGATAACTGGAAATAAATCCATAATCAGAGTTCAACAAAACTGATGGGTGAAGACAGTATTCAGTTGTTTCTAAAGACAGCAAACACCATCTCAGTGAAACCACCCAACACTCTCGTTCCCCTATCCTCATTTTCTTCCTGGTGAAGAGGTCCCTGTTCGGCCAAACCAAGGGGCAAAACCCCAATAATTTATCCAGTACYCATTTTTCCGAACAGCTGCAGAGGGAAGATGTGCCTGCACAAGGTGCTGAAACGATATTTGGGGAGGTGGGCTGATCTACAGTGGCATCAGCCCCAGCTTTGCTTCTCCACCAACACTGTTGGGCATTCTGGCTGCCATGCACACAGGGTCGTCCCAAGCACCTGACCAAGGTARAGGAGTTTCCGAAAGCCAGATGGAGTCAGACCAGGAGCATCCACCAGCAGCTCCAGGCCATTTCCAAGACACAGCCAGAGAGGTCACAGGACCTTTATTCACAGGAGCTAAACAAAAACAGGAGCTCAAACAACACACATCGCTGCTGACCCCAGGAATTTCCTGGGTGCCTCTGCCTCTCCCCTCATCCTCCTGCAATCATCTCCGAGTCATGAGACCTCTCTGGGATGGCATTCCTTCTCCTTTCAGTTTCCTGGCAGCTTTATAAAGACATCTTATCACCCTCATCACACTGGAGAAGAACAAACAGGACAGGGAAGGAGCGCACAATGCCACTGCTATTTCTGTATGTGACTCACGAGGGATTGCCATGGGTTTCATCTATTAATACAGCAATTAAATTATGTTATGGCATGACCACATCTCATTTGGAATGACCCCAACAGCCTCACTTAGAGAAAATAACCATTCAACTTTAATTATCATGGATAACGATGCTCTGGCATCTGTAGCAATTAGGAAACTATCACTGAGAACTTGAAAACAAGGTTTGTGGAGTATCATTTATGGGGTGGAAGCTGTAAGGACATTTTTTCTAACCAGTGTGAACATTAGGGAGCCCTCTCAACCCTCACAGGCCCCACAGCCATCACACACCCTCAAAATTCCTCAAAATCCCATAGGCCTCAGAGCACTGACTGCCCCTTGAAGCCCCCAAATCTGACAAAACCCTCAAAGCCCCTACAGCCCTWACATCCCTAACAAACCCCATAACCCCTCACAGACCCCATAACCCTTAGCAAACCCTAAAGCTGTAACATCCCTCATATAACTGCTAGTCCTTACAGACCCTGTAGCCTACAGAGACCCTACAATCCTTAGACCCCCACAGCCCTCACAACCCCGCAGATGCCATACCCAAAAAAATGGGGTAAAAGGGGGGTTATATCCCTCAATTTAAACCCTAAAAATTGAGGGACAATAGAGATTCCCTCTCAATTTAAAATTGAAGATGATGAAAAGGGGAGGTGGTGGTGGTGGGGGGGGTGCCTTCAATTTAAACACATCAAATGATTCACAAAGGTATTTTCCTTCCASTTAAACTGGAAAATTTGGATTTCTGGTCAATTAATTAATACCCCTAAGAACACAGGAAAAGTGGGTTTTTCTTCAATTGATAACCTTAAAATCACAGATGAAGGGGTTTTTCCCTCAGTTTAAACACAGACAAAGATGGAAAAGGAGATTTTCCCTTCCATTTAAACCAATTTTCCCCCCAACTTTTTTTTTTTTTTTTTTTTTTTTTTTTCTCCTGGGGTCATTGTGATGTACTAGGGAGACACTAGGGACACTGGAATGCACTGGTGAGGGATGGAGAAGATGAAATCGAAAGGAGAATGGAAAAAGATCTTTCTGTGCCCCCACACACGGTCCCACTTATCACCCTCACAGGCCACACCTGGGGCTACCCCACCCCTCAGCACAAAGGGTGATGGTTTAAATCGAAGGATAAAGGTTGGTATAGAGAGCGGGGAAAGTGTTTTATAATATTGAATTGATTGCCCAGAGAAGCTGTGGCTGCCCCATCCCATCCAAGGCCAGGCKGGACGGGGCTTGGAKCAMCCTGGGAGARTGGAAGGTGTCCTTGCTTGTGGCASGGGGTGGCATGAGAAGAGCTTTTGAAGTTCCCTTCCAATAATAATGCAGTATGTTATATTAAAACCCCATGGACTCCCATTGAAGGGATCTGTGGAGGGAGAAGTGATTTTAAATCTCTCTGTGGGAGATCTCCCCCTCACGGCCGTGCGGTGGGGCCGGCCGGGTGTCCCACACCGCTCATCCCTTCCCCTTCCCAACGCCCCGGACTTGGCTGTCTCCAGGGTGGTTTTGTTTGATCGGGATGTTCTCTTGTGGGGGCGCTGAGCTGTTTCTTCTACTTATTTCTTTTTGGCGCAGAAAATAAATAAAGGGAAAGAATCCCTCTCCAAAGCGCAAGGAAGGCGAAGGCGCGGCGATGGCGCGGGCGGGGGGAGCGGAGCGGCCGCGGTGGCCCCTGGGCTGATGTTGTCCCAGCTCCAGCCCTCCTGAGAACGTGTCCCACCYCATCTGGGCCCTCCTGGGAATGCACAGAGAGCGCACAGGGTCCGCCACGACTCCTTCCCGATCTTTCTCCCTTCCAGCCGCCCCGGTTTGCTGCG